GCTGGATTTGATTTAATTATTAATCTAATGAAGAAAAAAACACTTAAGCGTTGAAAAATTTCCATTCAGATTTAGCAATTTGATTCATCTGCTATAATTATTAAAAGTATCGGTATCGGTATCGATACAGGCCCTTCGCTCGGTATGGGATTGATACCAAAGCTTCCAGTATCGCACACCGTTAGGTGGTGCGTCTCTGCTGCACACGCCAACTGACTTTGTGATTGTAATTTGGAATTTCCATCTTTGAGCCACAGTCTTCTGATTAAAAGTAATTTACAGCTCAGGAATGACGTTATTTTGTCGATGTTGAAACTAACCTTTTGGCACCGTGGTGTACGTGCAGACCAGCTTGTGCCCAGTCCTGTCTTATAGTTCGCCCCAGTTGTTGTCTCCATAATGTTTGGGGTTATTATAGTTATTTTACTTGAGATAGAAGACACTTTTTATTCTTTTAGCGTGACATGTTTTATCAATGGGGAAACTTTCAAAAGCCTATTCGTCACATTCTGAACCGTAACTTGAAAATAGAAAGTTATAAATAACACAAAGTTAGCAGTCTAAGTTTATAGTAGAACTCTACAGAAGAGTAAATGATTATTTTTATTTCATTTGCATGGGTCGGTGTGATTTATGAGTACTGGTTCTTTTCATATGCATTTCTACCAGACAAGTAAAAGGAGCCTCCACGTTGAATTTCCTCCTTCAGCTACTTTCAGCGAGAGTAACTGAAGGAGCAGCCGAGCTCGCTGCAGAGCTGTGACTGCAGTCCATCATGCGCACACACAAGCACACTCCGAGACGTGGCTGAGTTTTTCCTCCTAATCACTCTCATATGTGGAGGGGCCACTGGAGGGATTGTTTTGTTATCTCACGTCGTCATCGGCGGGATTTGCCTGTGAGCATGTGTTACCGGTTAACGCTTAAACACGAAGCGAAGGTAGAAGTCTCCGAGAATTACAGAAGACAGGTCTGTCTGCAGGGGGCACGTTGGTGGGAGTTATGTCTGCGCATGAACACAGTCGAGACAGAACATCACATTCAGCTCCGAGACTCCAGTGGATTAAAAGCTTAGAGACACACTCCTCCACAGCTTTACACACTTCATTCCCTTCAAGAGATGGGGGTGTGGGGGGGCTTAATCTCTAATTTAGTCTCCTCTTGCCTGCACCCCGTTAAACCTTATTGCTACAAGAAAGAATTATCTGAATCTATTGAGCTGCAGGAGTTGTGCCATGATTATTAACCCACTGAATAATTCAGTTAGTTCTGCAACAGCTGCATCTGAACAATAAACCCATAGTTCATCCATTCAAATTTCATTCATTCATAGTTCATTCATTCATAGTTCATCCATTCATAGTTCATCCATTCATAGTTCATCCATTCAAATTTCTTTCATTCATAGTTCATTCATTCATTACCTGTAAGAAGCTGCTGGGACCAACTTCCTGTTTGAAAAAAGCATCCCTTTGGTTTTGTCGGCATTTAGGACAAGTTTGAGGTGGAACAAATCAGTCTGGATGTTGTTGAATGCAGATTTCAAAAGCTGGAAAGCCTTTTCAACAGTTTTAGCTCAACAATAAACAACTGTGTCATCAGCATAGAAATGTATGGATGTGTTAGGGATGTTTTTACCTACATTATGTATGTAGATTGTAAATAATAATAATAATAATAATGTCATCACAATATGTTTCCATACAATGGCAAAATTAGTTTCTGCATTTAACCCATCCACCACCAGGTGGTGCAGTGGGCAGCTATTGAAAGCGCCCGGGGGGCATTTTGGGGATGAGGCGTGCTGCCCAGAGACACCACGTGATGTGCAGTGACTGGGGATCGAACCTGGGACTTTTGGGTCCCAAGCCGGCTGCCCTGCCTCTACACCATCTCGGCCCCCTAAAGAGGGTGGGTCCTAAGACTGAGCCTTTATTTATTTTGATATACTTTTAACTTTGTATATATTTTAATAATAATTTACTGATAATTTTTTTTATTTTTGAAAAAAAAAAAATAAATTGACAGGTTCAAACATATGAATGATGCAAACTCCAAAACAAAACAAACAAACAAAAAAGCTGCAAAAGAAAAGTTCATACAGGACCAGGTGATCCTGAGAGGCCACTGGCCAAGAAGTGGCTTATTTTAGAATTATAATCTGCACCGAGTACTTAAAGCTACAACTTGTTTTATTTTAAAAATAAATATTTTCTGATTGTTTTTAGTCTGGTTGTACAAAAATCAGAGCATTGGATCTGTAGTTGGCTTGAGAAGGATGGCACCCCCAATAACTTATGGCAAAATCCTAAATATTCCCATTTGGTTATGTACAGTACCAAGAGTATCTTAAGGACATCATTTCTGTCCTAATGTATCCATAATAAATTGGTATTAAGGTGGAATCATAAAGTTTAGTGAACTTCGTTGAAAATATTGAGAAATACAGAAAAACTACCATTTGTAAATTCCCGCAGATCCTTTATACTTAAAACACTAATATCAGTGATATAGCCACATATCCATCCATCCATCCGTCTATCCATCATCTTCAGCTTGTTCTGAAGTCAGGTCTCGGAGGCAGCATCTTGAGCAGGGAGGTCCAGACATCTCTCTCCTCAGCCTCTTCCAGCTCTTCTGGGAGGACTCCAAGGAGTTCCCAGACCAACACAGAGACATAGTCTCTCCAGCGTGTCCTAGGTCTTCCCCAGGGTCTCCTCCCAGTTGGACATGCCCGAAGCACCTCCCTAGGTGACAGACAGATTGGTGCAGCGTCTGCAGTATTGTGGACTCTGTGCCGGTCCGTTGTGGTGAAGAGGGAGCTGAGCTGTAAGGCAAAGCTCTCTGTTTACCGGTTAGTCTACGTTCCTGCCCTCACCTCTGGTCATGACCTCTGAGTAGTGACTGAACGACGTCGATTGAAATGAGTTTCCTCTGCAGGGTAGCTGGACTCTCCCTTAGAGACAGGGTGAGAAGTTCAGTTATTATCAGGAGAGACTCTGAGTAGAACCGCTGCTCCTCCACATTCAGAGGAGCCAGTTTAGGTGGTTCAGGCGTGTCCATCTGGAAGGAGACCCCGGGGAAGACCCAGGACACGCTGGAGAGACTACGTCTCTGTGTTGGTCTGGGAACACCTTGAAGTCCTCCCAGAAGAGCTGGAAGACGCTGTGGAGAGAGATGTCTGGACCTTTCTAGTCAAGCTGCTGCCCCCCGAGACCAGACTTCAGAACAAGATGATGGATGTATGATGTATGTATGTATGTATGGATGATGCATGTATGTATAATGTATGTATGATGTATGGATGTATGATGTATGGATGTATGATATATGTATGATGTATGTATGTATGATGTATGTATGATGTATGTATGTATGATGCATGTATGGATGATGTATGTATGTATGATGTATGTATGTATGTATGATGGATGTATGATGTATGGATGTATGGATGTATGGATGATGCATGTATGTATAATGTATGTATGATGTATGGATGTATGATGTATGTATGTATGTATGACGTATGTATGAAGTATGTAAGTATGATGTATGTATGGATGATGCATGTATGTATGATGTATGTATGTATGATGTATGGATGTATGATGGATGGATGGATGATGTATGTATGTATGTATGATGGATGTATGATGTATGATGGATGTATGTATGTTGTAAGGGATTGTACTTCTTTAAAGTCTCAGAAGAACACCTATTAGATTTATATGGTTAAATATATCAGCATTATTTCTCAGCACTACGTCTGATTCCAACCACAGTGTTGTAAATGGTGGAATAAATCCTTTGTTCCGATTTATTATAATTCACAACTTAACGTACAATTTTTTTTCCTTTTTTCCGTCATTTTTAATCCAAGAAAGGGTTCATGCCTAATGTGCAAACAACCGATGAGAATATTTCTTTCTGTGCATGTTTTCACTTAACAAACTCGTTAACTGAACCGGAGAAAACTACAATCTAATTTTCAGTATAATACAAAACACATGTTGAAGTTTTACACTTATCGAATGTTTTCATCGAGGGTTCGAATATTTTGCCGGAGTGCACGGCTAATGGGTGGCATTTCTGAACGTTTTAAGGAAACACGATCGCAGCATTTTGTAAATGTCACCTCTTCGGTTGAGCAGAAACGTTTTTTTGTTGTTTTTTTTTTTGCAAAGGCCAGTGAGCTTCATGGGACAGGCACCATCTCTGTTTGGCTTCTCTGTTTTTATGAAGAGATCCTGGCAACACAGACGCTGCTGCACCGGAGACAAGTGGACTGAGTGTCCTTTCACAAAGCTCAAATGAAATGGGACAAGTCTCCAGAGGAGTCCGATAAACTCGGCCAGGTGAATTCTCAGAAACCAAAACTTATGATCGGAGACGTAAAAGAAATGGACTTTATGTTTTTTGTAATATGAAATCCTTCTCGAATACGAAGGTGTAGCCGGAGAACCAGAGCCAGCATCTGAGCCGCAGAGCTGAGCTTTTCCAGGTCAGAGGTTCGGTGCGAGGATACACCTGAATGCGTCGGCCTCGCTGCGGTTTCTGGAACATTCCTCTGGGCCTCGGTAATGACTCCTAATGGCACTAATGAGCCCCGCTCCACATGGGTCTGGTAGAGAGGAGAGGGAAAGGTAAACAACCAAACTGGAAGAAGGATGGGGTTAGATTTGGAAGAGTGAAACTGAGACGGATGACGGTGAGACATCTGTGGGAAGAGCGGAGGGAAACTAAAGGAAACTTGAAAGAGGGAAATTATCCTGGTAGCTGTAAAAACAACTCGGCAGAAAGATGGAGGTGGTCCTGTTGTATATTTAATGTTTTATCTGGATCTCTATCTTAAAATAACCTGATCCTTTTTTTTTGTTTTTCCAAAAACCCATTCCTTACTAAAGTTTCTTACAACCTCCTCCTTAGACATGCTCAGTCAGGTATCGAAGCAAAAAAGAACAGTTCTTTCTGATTTTCTTGTTCCCTCATCTCTTCTCATGTCTGCTCCTGCAGGTGAGTTATCCATGGGCGAGCTCCAGGATCCGTTCCTCGTCAGCGTCCACCTCATCGTTGACCCCGGACAGGGAAAGTTCCTGCAGCGTGCTGCCGATGCCGTGCTGATGTGGGTTCACCCCGAGCTGCAGCTCTTCAGGGTCTCGGAGCGGGCGTCCACCTCCAAACAACCTTCAACAAAGCGTCAACAAAATGGCAGTCCGTCTGCAGCCGGTCAGCCAGCTATGGCGGTCATCCTCTTCCTCCAGGAGATGTACGGCAGCGAGGAGCACCTGCTGATGCTGCACCGTGCCCTGCAGAGGCCGCCCTGGCATTACCATCACACTGAGAGAGTGAGCAACGGCCACCGTATGCTTCCACTCACCCCCTGCAGTCAGGACTTTTTCACCCTGTCTCCGGGAACGCCACTCTGGGCTGTGCGGCAGATCCACTACGGCAAGGAAATCGTGAGGTTCACAGTTTATTGCAGCTACGAGAATTACGTGGACATGGTGCGGCTGTATAAGCTGCTGCTTCAGCGACGCGTGGCGCAGAAGAAGGAGGACTTCTGCTTCTTTGTGGTGTACTCCAACCCGGACATGGAAATCCAGCTGTCGTTTAAGAGGCTCCCGCGGGGCCAGAGTCCGACAGCGCTGGAGTCAGCCGTGATGGAGGTGAGAGTATGGGATGTTGGAAGGCTGGTTCCCCTTCTGCCACTCCCCTGTAGTCCAATCAGTGAGGTCCGCTGGCAGACGGAAGACTACGATGGGAACAAGATCCTGCTCCAGGTATGTTTCGGGTCAATACTGGTTTTTGCTCTTCAACTTTAAGTGCGCTAAAAGAACAAGCAGTAGCTTCTCATCGTTATTAAGCCTTTATAGCAGCTTTCATTACAAGTTAAGAGCCTGTTTATGAGCAGCTATACTTAAAGAGGCTGACTCCCACAGGAAGCTTGTTGTTAGGGCGTATCGGTTTCAGAGGGAATACGTGTCCAGGCGGTGTGAGATGAGATGTTTGGAAAGTTCAAGCCGATTAAGCTGCAGTCCATTACTGGGATTGGAGCTCTGCTGCGAGGAACAACAAGCTAATCTGACAGTGCACCATATGCACGATGCTTAGGCACCACCTGGTCCTGCACTCAAGTCCCTCCACAAACTAGTTTCTTGAATCTTTAATTGATTCAGTGTTCACAATAAAACTCATCATGTTTTATTATTTATTTATTCATACGTCCATCAAAGGTGGGACGTCTTCTGGTAAAGTCCCTCTGTATGTCCGTAAACCTTCTCTTGTCCCACCCATAACTTCTGATCTGCTCAGGATAGTTTTAATGAAACTTGATACACGTCTGCATCATCACTAGACAGAGCGTTGAGTATACGTTTCATCACCCCAGCTCCAAGGTCAAGGTCTCAGTTGAAGGTCAAAGTAAAATCAAGCTCTTTGCTTGCCCTGTCCATTGCTGTAGATCGCTGTTTGTTCGTTGTATAATGTGCCGTATGTGGTACTGTTATTATTTAAAACGCTTGTCAGTATTTTTTACCTGGATTGTTGAGCATGAACTTTGATGTTTTGAACCACTTTGGTCTTTGCTGCCTCAGTGAGTCGGCGGGGGGAGAGGTGGACTCCAGAGACCATCGAACTGGTTGATCCACTATGTGAAGGTGCTATTTATAAGACTGAGTTTGCTGCGACTCCTCGGACTGATGAAGTCCTTTGGATGAAAGACAAAGCGTTTCAGCAAAAAGAAACCATCCAGAGGACCTGACTTAACTTTGTTGGTTTTTGTACCTGGATTATTGAGCATGAACTTTGAAGTCTTGTCTGTTTGATCATTTTTTGATGTGTCCAGAGGTGTAAATATTATTATACGTACTAAAACAGCTGCAATTGCTAAATGGTGGTGGAGGCAGTTTGTGTTGTTTCTGAGCTCAGCTGTTGTTTGTAGCTGCAGGATGAGGTCACACATCCGGCTGACCGGGCTTATCCCGAGATAACTAAAGCTTACAACAGCGAGGGCCTGATCATCGCCAAGTCAGCAACCTCATTACCCACAACCCCCTGCTGCGGCTGCTCACATCATTGTTGCACAGCAAACTCACGAAAAGCTGCGCAAGTGACATCATTCTTACAAGAAACCAAATTACAGACAAATGATCTCACTTATGTCTTGTTAGAATAGAGCTGCACTTCTAATCTTTCTGATTAAAACTTGTATTTAAAAAAGCCTCATAGGAGAAAATTGATCTGACAAAAAGAATCCTTAACTTTATCTCGATCATTTCATTTGACCTGATCAAGAAATTGTGAAATGTGCTCAAATCTATTTATTATCCTGAATACTTAATAGTTGTGTTAAAATGCATTTTATTTCACAAAGTGTTAAATATATTCATAATCCCAACACAGAATAAATTTAAAGTGACATTTTTCTAAGATAATAAGTATTTTTTACAGTTAATAAGATTATAAAAGTGCAAAGATTAGTTCAAAACACTTTAAATTGCACAGAGAAATAATAATAATCCAATATTTGTCAGAAACGCTGGCTCAGATTTGTCCTGCACTGACTTCACTCTGTTTTGTGAACCCATAAATTATTGCTCATCTCAGTCATTTGAGTTTTACCGTCACATTTATTGTTTTTGCACCTGAACATTCAGAGTTCTCTAAACTCCTGCACCTCCGTGCTTTTGGAGGTGACTCTGCAGAAAGGTCCTACCTCTGCCCGTTCTGTTGGAGAGGCAGACGAAGACGGCGGAGCTGACATGACTAAAGAAATGTGGAGAAACTATCAGCAGAGAGACGACGTCGAGTCCTGCAACAGGAAAGGAAATCCAAGTCGAGAACTTCACTGCAGCTGCTTTTTATGTCAAAAACAACGTTTCCGTGTTTGTGTCAGAACGATGTCTCGTGTTTCCAGACCCGTCGCTCTGTGAAGGATCATTGTACGTTTGCTCTGATATTTTAACCGTCTTTGCACCTGAAATGGTGGCGGACACGGAGTCTTCGTGGAGATGCTGATGACTTCTGCAGCTGCTGGCGTGATTCATGACGTGGCTGACCTGAGAACAAGGAGTGTGGGGTTTGAAAGCCCTGGGGTTCTCCTGTGCATCCTGCAAAGAGGGTGAACGAAAACCCCACATGTGGAGGTTTATGGCCCTCAATGTGCCCCTCCTTCTGTTGTGAAACAATGATTCAGCACATGTAGGTAATACACCCCAAGATGGAGGAGCTCTTCCTCTCTCTTATAAACGTTACATTAATCCTAGAGGTTCAAATTGATCCATGAAGGTAAAACATTTAATCCTGACTAAATTCAATATAATATATCCTGATGCATGCTCAGTAATCCAGGTATTAAAATTTAACAACGTTAATCAGGTCCTCTGGACGGATATAAAAAAATTGAAACGTTTCGTCTTTTATCCAAAGGACTTCTTCAGTCTGAGGAGCTGCAACAAACTCAGTGTTATAAATAGCACCTTCTCATAGTTTGCTGCTGACATCCAGAACTGTTCACATGATCAAGGAGGACCATCAGCCTAACGACTGATCGGTAGAGTCCTGATGACAGAGGGATGAGTGATACTATCAATACCATCATTGTAAGAGGGGAACAATTTGTCACCTTAGCACCGTAACACCTCCAAGTCTTTTGGATAAAAGACGAAAAGTTAAAAAAAATCTAATCTGTCCAGAGGACTTTTAGCTTTGTTGGATCAATAAAACATAATTAAACCTTTGGCTAATCTGATCATAAATCACCTGTTTAACACTGAAACTACAGCACTTTTAAAAGCTTTTTGTGAAGCTAAACAGGCTTGATGTAGAGTTATTAAAAAATCTTCTTAAAGCCCAGTTGGCCCACTGGAAACCTGAAACTACAAGTGACAGGAAGATAAAAAGACAAAAATGTAGCTGTAGTTGAAGAGGGGAAAATGTGCTGGAGACTAAAAAGAAAGAGGGCTAACCTCAAACAGGTTCTTTCAGACGTCTCGTGAGAGGAAGTCGGGACTGGATGTTGTAAAGAAGAGTCTGATGAGGGTTTCTGTGTGTAGGAGGCTCCATGGAAAGCCTTTGTGGAAGCCCAGTCCCTGTCTGAGGAGCACTAAAGAAAACGAGGAAATGTCTATCATCGTTTGTGCCTGAAGAATGAAATCCTCTTCTTTAGAATCGGCTTACAATCTGACACGACACACACTGATGGCATTTAGCTGTCTCTCTTCTATTTGCTTGAATTTATCGAAGTTGTTATATAAAATAAAAACCTTTGTACTGTATTCAGAATCAGAATAAGCTGTATTGTCAATGTAACAAAATACAGTGAGATTATCTCCGTACAGTCGTCCGAAAGATGGGCAGAGTGCACGTTGCTGCTGCTCCTAAGATCGTGGCCTCTTGTCCTTTTTCAGAATACTTTTTAGAAAAGGGGGAAAGGCCATGAAGATGGATAGTGGTATTACAAAAGATCTCTTGACTCCTTGTCATCAGGACACGATTGAAGACATCAAAAAACTCTACCAGCAGCACATTTACAACACGTTACAAATGCATTTGAAGACAAGATGTTGAGATTTGTCCATGAAGCACTTCCAGATAGTCCATAGTCCTGATAAGATGTTGGTGTCAGCAAGTACAGTTCTGATAAGTCTCCACAGAAGTTCTTGTGGGGTGGGGGGAGAGATAGACATAGCTTTTCCTTAGTTTACACATGTCCCTGGAGAAATTTGATAAGTTGGCCTGCTTCGAGACCAACCGGGGGAGTCGGATTCAGATAAGCCACAATTGTTAATTTTTTCAGGCAGACTGTTTTTTTCTCGTCAGCCTCGAGTCCTGTTGGTACTTTCGATCCCAAAATGGCCAGATTTATGGGCATTCCACTGGTCCATGCTTCTGAGCCCCCTCCAAGTTTGTCTCCAACATGCTGGTGAGTCCCAGAAGTCGCAGGTGGCCTGCGATTCTCACAAATCGCTTCCATCTTATGGTTTAGCTCGTAAATCAGCTGATTTTGAGTGCTTGAAGCACGAACCAAACCTTCACACAGGGTCGGCAGTTTTGCCACGGCCGAAACTGCTGCCAATGTCTTCTTCAATAGCCGATAACACAGGAATCCGCCGATGCCAAACAGCAGAAACCCTGCTACCATGGCTCTAATTACATAAACATCTTTGGCGTCCTCCTGAGACAGAACAGAAAGACACATCAGCTCCCAAACTGCCCATGGATCCATGACGTATCCTGACACGTGCGTCTCAGCGGGGCATGAGGGCTCTCCAGGACCCTGTCACTTTGTTGAAAAGATTTTATCAATTGTGTTGAAAGTAGGGATCCACTTTTTTCACTTCCGATACCGATATCGATATCTGGTGTTTGTTGTTTACCGATACCGATCCGATCTGATACAGAAAGTGCTGAATTTCATTCAACAAACTCGGCGTGCTCTTTAGGGTGAAATCTCTGGAGATGCTTGATTAAGCTGGTAGTGTTATAGCTGGAAGTGCCACCCCTTGGAACCGTCGCTGCCCACGTATTGCACGTAGCTGTCGAATGTGTTGGCTGAGGTCGTGTGAAATAGTTTCTGATGGCTGATCTTTTCGCTCGCTCCATTTTGAAAACAATCTGTGCAGCGAGTTTGCTAGTGCATGATGTCACTCAGAGCACAAAGCGTATAATTAGTGAATAGATCTGTGTCTTAACTTCATTAAACTCTAGCCTTATTTTATGACTTGTCCCTGCTGTTTTTAAACATGCTGGGGTTAAACCCTGTCTAAAAAAAACCCTCACCTTGACCCGTCAGTTTGATCACATTTTAGATCCATTTCTCATTTACCTTTTTTAGTTAAAGTCTTGGAAAAGTTGTTTTTATGCATTTCCAACGCGTCTTAAAAAAAACATGGCATCTATGAAAAATTTCAGTCTGGATTTAGAACTCGCCATAGTCCTGAATCAACCCTGTTAAAAGTCCATAATGATATTGCCGTGTCTATAGATACTAAGTGTCCTGTTGCTTTGGTGCTGCTGGACCTTACAGCTGCTTTGGACACAATGGACCTGCCGTCCTTCTGTCTCAGCTTCAGCACCATGCTGGTGTGTCTGGTTCAGCTCTCAAGTGGTTCACCCCCTACTTGACCAACAGAACTTTCTGTCATGTTGGGTTATCCATCTTCCTCTACTGCTCCTCTTTCTTGTGGTGTGCCACAGGGCTCTATTCTTGGTCCTTTCCTTTTTTTTTCCTCTGTATATGCTGCCACTCTGACCAGACACCACTTTTCTTTACACTATTATGCAGACAACCTACAAATTTATTTGTGCATGAAGCCTTAAAGTAGTAACCTTCACACTTCCTTTGTTGACTGTATTCCTGACATCAGTGGCTTCACCAAAGGTTCATGTTTTTAAATGAAGGAAAGACAGAGCGAATCTTCTTTGGTCATGACGCTCCCTGTAACTTTGGTGCTTTGACATCCAAATTTAGACCCACGGTTAAAATCTTGGGGGCGACTTTTGACAAGGATTTGAAGTTGGACAAACATCTAGCCTCTGTAATCAAGGCCATCTTTATCAGTTCCGTCTTTTAATCATCTCAAGGCTTGACAACTGTAATGCTCTATATGTAGGAATCTCACAGTCCTCTATCAAACTGGTCCAAAAGGCTGCGGCCCATATTTTAACCAACACCCCCAGAGGTGATCACATTTCTACAATGGCTTCCAATCCATTATAGAACTGATTTTAACGTTTTATTATTCACTTTTAAAAATTCTTAATGGTCTTGCCTCGCCTTATTCAGCTGATCTAGTTGCTTTCCGTGAGTGTGAGAGAACGTTATGAACAACCAATAGATTTTTACTGTTTGTTCCCAAGTCCAAATACAAATGTCGGGGCGACTGGGTGTTTTTGATAAAGGGCTTTATAAATATTGATTGATTGGTTGAATGAAACACTGAAAAAAATTAAAAGTCTAGAGTTAATTTTTAAGATTCCTCTGAAGATTTGTTGTGTTGCGCTCTTCTGGGTTCAACTTTAGTCTGGTGGACTAACCCTACCCCTGGGAAAACTAAATCCATCAAAACATTTGTAAACCTCGACAAGTTTATATTCGAGTTCTTCAGTATGTTTTTAATTAAAGACTAAAATTACCAACAGGACTTTGAACATAGAAGGAAAAATAAAATGAGAAAAAAGAGTGTAAAAGTACACATAATTCATAGTATTTGATAGTTTTTCAAGGTGTGTTTGTGAAAAGAAAACCAAATAAATCCCTAAAGCTAGTTATAGTTTATTTTTTATTTTTCTCCCACTTATTTTAAACGGGCAATAACTCTTCCAGATGCTGAGGCAGAAAAACAAACCACCCTTGCTTGTGGAGAGGCTCTAAGATTTCATATAATCTACTGTTACTTTATGTAAATAATACATCCAAGAAGAACTGCAGTCAAATGAAATTATACAGTTCCACCCAGGCCCTGCTGGCGTACTGGGCCAGTGATGTTGGTGCTGGTTCCACCCAAACCTTAACTACTGCAACAAGTCAAAACGATGCCAACAGTACTGTAGGTCTGCTTGTTTCTTGTGTACGGTTTTTACAAGAAGAAGTTTTTAACGTGATTTATTCTTGTTTGTTTGGAACAAAACAAAAATGTGTTTCATGAAGACCGTTGCACTAAAGTCTCACGTTTGTCTCGTCGTCGTCCTCGCACGTTTAAAATGTCCAGAATCTGCACTGATCGTTGTGCTCTTTTTGTGTTTTATTCATTTGTTCCTGTTCAGGTTCAGGGTCCGTACCCGAGACACGGACAAGATCCCCGTCACAAATCCTCCACGATCACTGACCCAGCCTCGGCTCCGTCCTTCACCCGCGGCGTCACCTCCTACAGAAACCGCCGCCACAGTCAAAGGGTAGCGTCGCGTCCAAGAGGACACCAAACCTCCCACGCCTCCCTCCCTCTGGCCTGCGAGGAGCTAGATGAGCCGGAACAGCAGCACCCGGAAACCTTCCAGTGGCGAGGGGGGCACTCCGGCTCCCACTTCTCGCTCCCCAACCTGGGCTCAGCCGTTTCCCACTCTGCCTGCTCCTCACCTGCTCCTCCTTCTAAACCTCCCACCAGGAGCTGCTCCCTCAAGAGGAGCCCCTCTCTCACGCAGCCATTCCGGCTGAACGTGGACACTCTGATTGGTGCAGAGGAGACAGATGTGGACACGGGGGACAAGGTGACCAGCAGCGTGGACCTGTCGGTGGTGTCAGCGTACATCAAATCGAGCCTGCCGCTCACCCCTCGCCCACTGTCGGCCCCCCCAGAAGACGTCAGACCTCCTCTTTCTCCGTGCGTTCTGGAGAACACCTACAAGTCAGCCACACTGGGCCGGACTCCAAACAGCCTCTCCATCAGGAGCTACGCTCCGTCAGGGTCGCATCCCCAGAGCGCCAGCACGAGCGCTGCTCCGTCCTCGAGCGACGTCTCAATAAACCTGTCGGACAGCTGCAGCGTGATCAGCGCACCGGCTGAGATGGACCGGCCGGACGAGGAGCAAGAGTTCTACATTTGATTTGGACTGGAAGCTGAGGGGGATCAGCTCTGGTCTGACTTCAGTGCTCGGCTCCAGTCTGCCCCCTGCTGTCCGCTGGTAAAACTACAGGGAAATGACTAAACCTGGAAGAGATTTTCTTTTTTATTGTTGTTTTTTTTATTTTCCTTGCATGTGAGCACTGTAAATATTTACATAAGTATAATCGATTCAACGGAGCAATCACACAGCTGTACATAAACTCAATAAAATGTAACTCCTTCTCTTTCAAGCTGCATTTCAGTAAAGAAAGTCATCGACCACGATTCTGTTCGTTTTATTAAAATTTAAGCTAAGCAGAGCTGAAAGGGCGTGTCTGATTTGTTCAGGAATTATTTTTTGACAATTTTATGCAAAATCCACGACGTGCGCTATGTGAGCTTTTTATCATAAGTGAGAGTTCACCGTCCGATCAGACCACAGGAAGGCTGTTCTGATTTGTATCGTTTTTGGCCTGAACCACAGCAAACGTTCAAAATTAATTTGGAGAAAGAGGCGTTAAGAGAAGACTCCAGACTGAAGAGGACACATCTACTTGCCGTCTTGTCCACAGTCTTTTCAGGTCTTGTGTACTTGTACTCATTATGAACTGTTGTGTTTAACACTGGTACACAAAATGTGTGTACACAGAGTGACTGATGGAAAGATGAGCCGCATGTGTTGATTTAATTTTAGCCTTGATTCGTCTTTGAGGACGGACTGGACCTCTGGATGCTTGTGAGATGGGGACAGGAGGACAGGAGCAAAGGCCCACGTCACATTAACAAGTCGACTTGTTTAATTAGACTGAAAACGATCAAATAATATATTACTGTTTAAAAAAAATAATAATCTAACCAGCAGAAATCGAGCACGATTCATGAAAGCTTGTGCTTCTGACCACCTCTTTTCTCCTTTGAGTTTAAAAATAAAAAATATAATAAGTGAAGAAATGGGATTAATAAGCACAGGAGAGGATTAGGGCCACGGTGCAGTTTTTGTTTTCCTTAATTCTGAGATTAACGTCAGATTTTTAGACCTTGTCAGAATCTGAGTGGCTGACAACTATTCTGTCACTATTAATTAAAAATTAAAAACAGCCACAGAAACTCTGGATCCTCCCTCAGTCTTTGTCGCCTTTGCTCATCGTCATCTCATCGTATTTTATTGAACCTAAGTTTAAAAGCGTCCGTTCTGTACAGCCGTCACTACAACCTCATGTGGCTTGGGACGAAACGCTGAGCCACCGGTCCTCAGCAGACGTTTGGGCTTCAACCTGCCTCCTCTCCGTGGTTCTGGTTAAGTCCAGTCAGCCCCTGGAAGGTGACGGCTGGACACACGGCCTCCATCCGATGGGCGCCCGTCCCTCCTGGTGATGAGAGAAGCAACGTTTGGTCCGGCTAAGAGCCGATTCGTGTTGGTCGACTAAACAATTCACGTCCTTCCTCAAACTAATGTCACAGTTTAACAGAAACCTTAAATTCCAAAGATTAAAATGCCTGCAAAACCTAAAACATGGATCCTGTGTAACCTAATAAAAACACCCTTTTAAAAAGATTTCTGTACTTTAGATACATTTTTATAAAATTCTTCCCTCAGATCATAAATGGTTCATTCTTGCTCCAGAGTGTTATATTTGATAAATCATTGAAAAAGTGAATCAAACCCTTTAAATTATGTTCAGTTGATTCAAACGCTAAAACTCAGAATATGCTTTGATTCATTTTTTTGTTGGTTTTATTGTGATTCATTTAAACCTTGTAATAAAAAGGCAAACTTGGTGTAATAGTAATCTGTACGATGCAAGATCCCTGTTTTGAACAGATTCAACTCAGTTTTTGAGATCTAATGAATAATTAAGGTGAATAAATAAACAGATCAAAATATTATTGATTTATTTTAAGAAGCAGTTCAATCTATCATTGCCAAATTTGTTCTTGTGATCACTTTAAACAAGAGCTAAAAACTACGTACACCGTTCTTACAGCTGCTACACAATGCTGCCATTGTCTGTTGAACTTTGACCTCATACAGGTTTGATCATCTTAAACCCAACTAAATAAATTAATATAAACTAAAGAAATTAATATAAACTAGAGAAATTAATATAAACTAGAGAAATTAATATAAACTAGAGAAATTAATATAAACTAGAGAAATTAATATAAACTAGAGAAATTAATATAAACTAGATAAATTGCATTTCCTGTGAAAATGCAGTGTGGATGCTTATTGCAGAAGAACTTCCTGAAAACAGCTGCAATTAGCTAAAAACATGCTGAAATTAAAGAACAAGGCTAAATTAGCAGAAGAAAGCAAAAAGAACACATATTTGCCAAATTATGTATAAAGAAATTAAAATGAGCACAAAAATTAGGAAGTCGGCTAAAAAGCTAAAATTAGCAACTGAAAAAAAAGAAACTTCTAGAGTAGCCAAAAGGGCAGAAAGAAGTGGGATAAGCTGAAAAAGCTAAAATTTGCATAAAAACAGCTGAATAGTAGCTGAAATAGCAGAAAAAGATGAAAAAAGATGAAAGGAGCATAGCAAGATATTAGCAAAAATATGTTAATTAGGCTGAAATTAGCAGGAATTACCATAAAAAAACTTAAATTCATTTGAAAACAGCTGGAATTAGCTAAAAAATGCTAAAAGGTAAAACAAGCTTAAAATAGCAGAAGAAAACAGAAGGAACATGTTTTCCCAATTAAGCTGAAAGAAGCAGAAATGAGCACAAAAAAAGGAGAAATTATCTGAAAAAAGCTGAAATTAGCATAAAACTGGCTGGAAAAAAAGCTAAAAAAAAACAAATTCTGAGAGAAGCTTAAATTACCAGAAGGAAGTCGAGAGCATATTTTTGCTGAATTAGGCTTAAAAAATTGAAATGGGTGCAAAAATGTGGAATTAGCTGAAAAAGCTAATTCCTAAACTAACTTTTTATGCTAACTAAAGTTAGCATAAAAACAGCTAAATAGTAGCTGAAATTGCAGAAGTTGAAACTAGCAGCAATACGCTGAAAGGAGCAGAACAAGCTGAAATTAGTAGAAAGGAGTTAGAAGAAGCACAAACATGTTGTAGTTAGCAGAAAGAATCTGAAAGGAGCACAAAACAGCTAAAAAAACCCAGCTGAAAGTAGCTGAAAAAAGTTTAAATTTGCAGCAGGAAGCTGAAAGAAGCTGAAGCAGAACAAAATGTGAAATGAGCAGTAAAAGGTTGTAACAGATGTAAAAACTTGAAGGATGTAAAATGAGCTCAGTTCATTTTCTATGAGGAAAAAATGGCAGAAAAGGCTAAATATTTCAAAAAGCTAAAGTTGCACCAACACCAAAAGTCAGAGCAGGATTGTCCTGAAAGAGCCGAACGTTTTGATTCATGATTTGTTGAAACGGCACAAAAACTGAGGAACGAGAAAGCTGCAGGGAAAATGGATCACAGTGAATGTTTCATCAGCTTTCACATTATTAATAAATCGACACATTGTCTTGGGTGCAGTCTTGAATCGAGTCAAACGTTCCGTCTTAAAGTTCTTGACTTGTGTCAGAGCGGCCTCGATGACGTCACGCTCCTCTGGAACAAAGTCCTGTTTCAGCCCAGCTCATGAAGTCGGCTCCTCTGTGCAACCCGAGCCCTTCAGCAGGTCTCTGTGGTCTGAACACCATCTGAAGAGGGGCTCCAGTAATCTCTCCGTCGTCGTGGCAACGCCTTGTTTAGCAGAGGTGATGTCATCCAGTCAGAGCACAGAGTGGCGTTTAGTGTTTCTGCAGAGAGACCAGTCATCCACCAGAGCCGAGTCAGGCTGAGCACTTGTTTTGTGCAAGTGTTCACGAACATGTTTATTCTCTGAAAAACTAAACGTCATGAACTGGTCGGGAGCCAGTTGATCACCTTCTTGTGTGTTTCAATGATTTATGGTTATTGATAAACTTGTTACTTTGATAGAGCTATAGTATCACTCCGTGCAAAAGTCCCTTTACATTTGAATTTCAGTGATTCGGACTTTCTAATAATCCTTTAAACTGGTTTTCACCCCGCCCCTCGCACAGTGATTGCTGGACATGGGCACCAGCGACCCCCGTGACCCAAAATGGAATAAACGGGTAAAGATAATGGATGGATGGTTTTCATCAACGGTTCTCCAGACTTTCTGAACGTCTTCCAAAGATTTTCTTTGGACTTTGCTTGATTTCTCAGCGAAGTTCTGTCCTATCGTGTTTAGATAAATGTTTCCTGCTTCCTTCCTTCCTTCGTCTCCTTCCTTCCTTTCCTTCTATCCCTTCTTTTATTTATAAGGGATTAAAGGCCTTCTACTCTGCTCCTGTATCCTGAACCAAAAGATCTGAAGCGGTCCACCTTGATCTCTTTAAGGGGGTTTAAACATTTGATAAAGTTTACACCAAAGTAAATATGCTCTTGTTTTTAGTATTTTACTTTGGCATGTTGATTTTAATAATTTTCACTTATTTTATTTGATTTTAATTGCTTTTTGCTGAATTCTTGTTGTCTGTACTTTATATATATATCGGTTTAAAATCAGGCTTCTCCCGTAAGTGAGTCCTCATGACTCAGTGAGACTAACCTGTAAAAATAAAGGTTGAATGAAAAGTATTTTAAGGCATCTGCTGTCTAATACATTATTCAGACATAAATACACCCCCAAACTCAAAGGGTGAGCCAGTGTTGTGTTAAACTAAACAGACAACTTTGTTTTATCGTGTTCTTTATGATGCGACTGCTGTAGCGTCTTCTTTAATGACTTTAATTTATTGTTTGTACAGAACTTTGACCCTGCACTTGTTTAAAGTCGAAGTATTCAGCCGGTTTCATGTCTTCGTCCTCCTTTTCCCCCCCAGGTGGAGCCGTGTGCAGGATGAACCACGGCACACTTCCTGGTTCTGGCTCACATCCTGAGTCCAGAGCCTGTGTCCACTTACCTAACGTAAGATCAGCTCTGACCAGTGGTCGGCGTCGTCTTCTTAGTGGACTAGTCGTCGTGCGTTTCATCTGA